TTTTGTATAAGACACAACATTGCTTGCCAAAACTGAGGAAGACCTGATACATTTGCTGTAGAAGGTCAAGGACTATAGTCTTCAATATGGACTGAAGCTCAACATCAAGAAAACAAAGATTCTCATCACTGGACCAGTTGGCATGACAGATGGAGAAGATAATGAGATTGAGACTGTCAACAATCTCAGTTGACTCGTTTCCATAATCAGTACCCTTGGCACCAGCAGTCAGGAAAGAAATAAAAAACCAAATTGCTGTCAGGGAACTCTTCAGAGTGATTATGTTAATCTGGAGAGTAAGTTATGCCTAATCCAGGCCATGATCTTTGCAATTATTTGCATAGGAAAGCTGGGCAATGAATAAGGATAACAGAGTAATTGATGCCTTTGAGCTGTACTGCTGGAGAAAAGTATTGGACTTCCAAAATAACAAATAGGTTTATCCTTAAAAGGATGAAGCCAAGCTATTTCTTGTATGAAGGGATTTTGAAGCTTGGTCTCACACACCCTTTGGGCTTGTTGCCAGGAGGGACCAGTCCTTGAAGGATATTATGGTTGGAAAGATTCACAGACAGCTCAGGAGAAGAAGACCCAAGATGAGATGTATTGACACAGTAACTGAGATAATGGCAGTAGGTGTATTAGAGACAGTGATACTGGCTTAAGATACAACAGGGTTTAGAGCTATTTACATAGGGCTGCCATAAGTCACAGGCGACTTGAAAGCACATACCAACAACAGTGGTCTCACAGAACATTTTGCCATTTTGTGATAGACAAAGTTTACTCAGCATAATTTCCTTCAGGTTGATACATGTTGTTATTGTTGTTATGTGCTGTTGAGTCTCCTGAGACTCATAGCAACCCAATGCACAGAAGTCTGCCCTATCTTGAGCCAGTTTCACCTACTCTGACACACCTACCCCATTGCTCCATTAACTGTATCAATCCATCTCATATCAGGTTTTCCTCTCCTGCACTGTCCCACCCTTCCAAGCATGGTGTCCTTCTTGAAAAGTATGTGAGATTGAGCTCCAAAATCCTAGCCTCCAAGGAGAAAATTGATTTCATCTTCTCCAAGACATACTTAACTGTTTTCTTGGTGGTCGATAGTGTGTTCAAGACTCTTCTCCAGTACCTCAACTCAAAGGAATAAATTCTTTTGTCATCCTTAGTTATTGTCCAGCTCTCTGAAGCAAAGCAAGTAATTGTGAAGACCATGGCACACCTTAGTCTCTAGACTGACATCATTGCTTCTCAGTATTCTGATGAGATCCCTGACAGCAAATATCCCAGTGCAATTCATCCTGACTACCAAGGGTGTAGAGCCAAGAAAACTGTAATTGTTAACAACTTCAATCTCTTCTCCATCTGTCATGGTGCTGCCAGTCAGCCCAGTGGTGAGAATCCTTGTCTTCTTGATGTTGAGCTTCAATTCATATTGAAGACTACAGTCCTTGGCCTTCTGCAGCAAGCACTTCAGGTCCTTCTCAATTTCAGCAAGCAAGGTTGTACCATCTGCATAATGTTGGTTGTTGATCAAGCAGTTTTCAGATTCACCTTTATGGTTTATTGTTGCATGATATTCCATTGTGTACTGTATCACAATTTATTATTTTTTTTTAGGATGACTCTTGTGGTATTTCTATTTCCAACTTTTTAAGGAAGCACCATATTATTTTCCACAGTGGTGGCACCATTTTATGGACCTATAGCAATGGATGAAGATTACAGTCACTGAATACTTGAATAAGATCATGTCTGTTTTGCTTTAGATCTTTCTAGTAGATAAGAACTGCAAGGATTTTGTTGTGTATTTATTGACCATCTAGAAGTCTTCTTTGGTGAAATGTCTGTTCATGTTCTCCACTCATTTTTAAAGTGAATTGTTTGGCTTCTTTTGCTATTGAGATGTTGCCATTTCCTTTTTTAAAAATTTTTTTTTAAATTTTATTATTTTGTGTGTGTGTACCGCCAAATTGGATCTGACTGGCACAGGAGGAGATTGCCCTTCCTTCTCCAGCAGAGCATCTGGTGGATTCTAACTGCATACTTCTGGGATTGTAGTGCAGCTTCTTACCACCATTTCTGTACATTTTAGGGATTAGTTTTTTTATACGATGTTGCCTCAGTTTTTCCCAATTAGTACATTCATTTTTCCTCTTTTGATAGTCTTTTGATGAGTTAGAAAATTAATTTTAGGAAAGCATAGTCATCTTTTTTGTTTTCTGTTGTTTGCAGTCTTTTAGTTATGTTTAATAGAATATTTATGTCTTGTATTAACTCTTGTATCTTAATGGTAGGGAGTTGTGCTGCCATCCCATAGGCATGTGGTTTAAATTCACCAGCTGCTCTGAGGGAGAAAGGGGGCCAGTCTCTGTCTGTATAATTCACTGCCTTTGAAATCCTGAAATGCTCAAGGGTCAGCTCTAAGTTGGTTCCAACTCGAAGGTATATAACAATGACTAGGGCCTCTAAGTTTGTCCCTAATTTTCACTAGGCCCTTTGCCAAAGATCAGTTTCCCATAGGTAGAGGAATTTACTGTTGGTTCCGCCATTCTGTTCCATTGGCCTGTGTGCCTATTGCAGCAATATCAAGATATTTTGACTCCTATGGCTGTCTAGGAATATTTAACACCACAAGGTAAATGTAAGACCTTCTACTTTGCTTTTCTTTGTTGGTGCTTTCTTTGCTTATTTAGGGTCTGTTCTTTTTCACATGAAGTTGAAGATTATTTTTTTTCCTCTTTAAAGAATGACTATGGAATCTGAGTTGGATTGCATTGATCCATGGATTGGCTTGTATATATTGGTTTGGATAACATTTCCACAATGTCCAGTATACTGAAATATGAGTATGGTATTTTTGTCAGTTTATGTAGGTCTCTTGCAGCCTAGTGGCAAGAAGCTGTGCTGCAATCTTGAAAGCACATGGTTCAAATCCATCTGTTGCTCCATGTGAGAAGGATGGGCGATCTCCTCCCATGCAATTAAATGCCTCTACAATCCCACTGGAGGGTCAGCTATGGGTTGGTTCTGACTTGATAATACACAATAACTTGTAGTAGAGTTTTCTTTCCTTAAGTATTTTGAATCACTGGTTTGATTTATATCAAACTACTTCATCTTCTCAGTAGTTATTGTAAATGGTACTGTTTTCAACTTGGTGTTTAATTTTATAGCTTTAATAGATTCTAAACAACATGATCCTAGCCATGGATTTTTCAATTGCTTCCTGTGCATCAGAAAAAATTTTGCAATGAATAAGGATGACAGAAGAAAAATAAATGCATTTGAATTGTGATGTTGGAGAAGAGTATTAAATACTCCATGGACTACTAAATGAATAAATAGGACTATATGGAGGAAATGTAATCAGGGTTCTCCTTAGAGGCAAGAAGAATGAAATCACACCTTACATACTTTAGAATTGTTGTCAGGAAGGATCAGGCCTTGGAAAAAAGACATCACACTTAAAAAGGTGGAGGGTCAGAGAAAGAGACAATCTTCAACAAAATAACAGGCTCAAGCATATTAGAGATCATGAGGACGGTGCAGGACAGGACAAGATTCAGTCTCGTAGTTCATAGGGTCATTATGCATCCTACTTGACTCATTGCCACCTAGCAGCAACAACAATTAACAACAATGACAACAACTAACCTCACTACCCTTTAGGGAGGTATACTCTTTGTTGGATATTTCTTTTAGCAGATTCATTCAATTTTAGATCTTCTTCTTTGACAAACATAATGACTTCACTTGTTCTTATATCAAGTGTACTCTTGATTTGGTTGGCTACCTAAATATCTTTCATATTTAATGTGTACTTTGCTTTGGATTATTTTACTAAATGTAATCTTTATACCAAAATGTTAACCTGAACACATTCTTATATGAGTTAACCAATGTTGCAAAATATTCTACCATTTGGGTTATTAGTCACTCAGTAACTTAGTGATAAGGAATTTAGATGCCAACCCAAAGGCATGCCATTCAAGTCCACCAAATGCTCCATGGGAGAAGGATGGGTGTTCTCCTTCCATATGATTTATTGCCTCTGAAAACCTGCTGGAGGGTTAGCTATGATTTGATTCCAACTTTGAGTGCACATAATAACATTTTTTAAGGAACAAATTATCTTTTAATGTATTTATAAATATTTTAACTACTTTTACAGCTAATTTTCTTGTTAAATTATAATTGTTTTATTATGTACTGTTAAATCAGAACAGACTCACAGCTGTGCGTTTCACAGTTGGGTTTCTGAAGCTGTAAATCTCACCAGAGGGAGTGTTAATCTTTCTCCCACAGATGTGGATCTGAACCACATGCCTTTGAAATGGTACTACAACTCCTTATCACTAAACCACACATTATAATTGTGTACCAGTAGCATACACTTCCTAAAAAACATGCCTTTGGAAACTCTATGAAATTTGAGAAACAATGATACTTAGAGAAAGGCTTCAGGCCTTTTGTTCATAGAGTCTCTATGAGTTGTGCTCAATTTGATGACAATCAACAAAAACAATGTAACAATATACTAATTATTAGTATTTCTGTTGTTGTCATTTGCCATTGAGTAGGAACCAACTCATAATTGACCCTCCTTCAGGTTTTCAGTATAATCTCATGGGAGGAGATTGTCCATCTTTCTACCACAGGACAATTGGTAGATTTGAACCCTGTGTCTTAGCATGGCAGAGCAGTTCCTTACCACTAGCCTACCAGAGCTCCCTTATTATTAGTATAATAGCACACTAATATAATAATAAATTATATTAGCATTTTTACTTTTATCACTATACTATAAGCTGCTTAGATAATTTTAAAAGGCATGTTAATTTAATACATTTGATTTTGAAGTTTTTAATTTTCCTAAAATAGATGATAAAAATTAATTGCTCATATTACAGGATCTCAGAATGATAAGATGCTCATTTATAAAAGCTCTATGATTTATTTAAGAGCATAGATTGCTGTACTATGTTACCTACTTGGTTGCGCAGCCGTCAAACATTCCAGTATTGATGAAGTATGGACAAACGATGGTAATTTTAATTTTAGTTTTCCTTTGCAGGTTTAATTCAAAGAAGAGAGCCTCTGCAGTACCACAAGCTGCAAATTTACTTGCAGAATAATCTAAAACAAAAATGAAGAGCCATTAGTCATAGAGTTAGTATTGAAGATATTTTAAAAATTGAACCAATTTTACCTCTTTTCAGATATATTGAGCAATAATATTTCAGATACTGAGTAATATTTCAGATAATATTGAGTATACTCCACTCTATCACTGCCACAGTATATACTTAAAAGCAAATCACTGAATAAATACAACATGGGAATTACCTTAATTTCTCCTAACCCAAGAAAAAAAAGGAGCCAATAGATGTATTCTTTTCTTTGGTTTTAGAAAAGAGAGGAATAGTGGAATTGGGGGGATGGGGGGGGATGGATTGCATAACAAGGAAAGAGTTTTTCTTTCTTTTCAAGGAGAAGAGTGAATTGGGGGGGAGGGTTAGGTAGGGAGAAAAGTGCAACAATGACTGGGGGAAAAACCCAAATCTGTTTCCTCTCAAAAAAAAAAAGAGGATATTCTTTTATTGTTGTCATGAAAAATAGCTCAAATGTCCCTCAACAAATGACTGGATTGAGAAATTAGAGTATATTCACACAATGTGCAGCACTCAGGAGCAATGATTTTGAAAAATATTGTATGACATGGCGTAGGCTAGAGAGCATTATGCTGAGTGAACTAACTCAGGGGCATAAGGATAAATACTGCATAAGACCCTTATTGTAAAAACAGAAGAATAACCAGTAAGGTGTATATGAATATCTGAAAAGGGACAGGGAGGGGGCAGGAAGGACAAGAGTGGAGAATCACAGAGTTGCAAAATTTGGTTGGTGTAGGGAGGGGTAAAAAGAAAACCAAAGTACACAAATGAAACACAATTAAACAAATTATTTTATGCCACCTAAGAAAAAAAATTTAAAAAGTCCCCTCATAGCAAAACCAAATAGAAATGTTTACCCACAGAATCAATCGTGGAGGGATAACAGGGGTGGAAAGAAAGGAAGAGGATAAGAAAAACTGATAGTTGGGTGAGGGGAAGGACAATATCAGTTGATCAAATATTGTAATTTATCAATGGCAATACCGGGTATATGAAAAAACAAATGATTTGTAAATTTTCACTCATACTTTTTTATGATTTTCTGAGAAGTATTACAATAAACAATCTATAACCTTGAAAAGAAATACATAACAAGAGGGGGATACAACAGGGGAGCTCTGGTAGCCCAGTGGTAAGAAACTGTACTGCTAACACAAAGTTATACAGTTCAAATCCACCAGCTGCTGGGAAGAAACATGAGTCATCTCCTCCTTTGTGACTTACTGCCTCTGAAAACCTGCCAAAAGGTCAGCTGTGGGTTGGCTTTGACTTGACATTACACAACAGCAACAACTGGCATTATACAGATGCAAATGTACCAAAGCTTTCCCTGCTGAAATAAGAGTTGATTGTTGTGATTCAATGCTAACTCATGGCTGCTCTTTTATTTCATCCTAAAAGAGGCCCCATTTCTGGATGCCAAGTACTGGGGAACACAAATATATGCGGTGAAGCAGAGTACTCACCTACTAGTCCATTAGTACCAATTTGTCCTGCTGCACTTGAAATGCAGACTAAGTGACCATGGTCAGCTGCAATCATGGCAGGAAGGAAGGCCTTATAAGTCTAGAAGATGTAAACACACTGTATCATTATTTTATTTATTTTCACAGTAAATGTTTGAGGAATTTGCTAGTTCATTGAACAACTACTGAACATATGTTAAAATTCTATATCAAAACAAACGTAGGTACTTTACAGCCACAGTCCTCAAAGAATTTATAGTTCATCGTCCATTAACCTATGTGGTTGTTGTTCTTGTTATGTGCCATCAATTTCACTATGACTCATAGCTACGCCATAATGGCTCTGAACCTTGCCCTATCCTGAGCCAACCTCACCATCTCTGATACACCTGACCTCATTGCCACCCACAGTCACTGTGTCAATCCTTCTCATCTGGGTTCTTCCCCTCTTCTCCTGTCACTCTACCCTTTCAACCATGATGTCCTTCTCCAAGGATTGGTCCCTCCTGACAACATGTCCAAAGTATACAAGTCAGTGTTTCAAAATTCTTGCTTTCAAGGAGCAACCTGGTTTCACTTTCTCCAAGACAAACCTGTTTGCTCTCTTGTCAGTCCATGGTCTGTTCAATACTATTCTCCAGCACCACAATTTGAAGGGGTTGATTTTTTTCTGGTATCCTTAGTCATTGTCCAGTTTTCAATGCACATCAAGCAATTGAGAAGATAATGCCCTGGATCAGGCACACCTTAGTTTCTAGAATGACATCATTGTTCTTAAGGACCCTGGAGAGGTCCTTGACCACAGATTTTCGAAATGCAACTCGTCTCTTGATTTCCTTACTGTTATTGCCAAGGGTGTTGATTGTGGTTCCAAGTAAGATGAAATCATTGACAACTTCAACCTTTTCTTTATCATGATGTTGCCTACTAACCGATTAGATCTACCATTTGACTTTTTTTCCCTTTCAAGTAAAGTATGTCCGTTAAATTAAATATATTTCCACTATTACAGTTTGCTAGAAAAAGTAAAAAGTAGTTTTTCTGGGATATGGAATTCATTCATGTAGTTTTTAGAATTTTGTACTAAAATTTATTTTTTTTTTCATCTTCCTGGCTATATCATCCATAAGAGTTCTCCTCACTTGAATGAATTAGCAGACTATGAGAAATCACTTGCAAAAGGACAAATTCCAGTGTTAGAGAAGCATGCTCTCGATAAAGTAAATACTTTTTTTAGTTATTTTTGGTCAAACTAATTCATTAATTCTGAGGCAAGACATTGATTCCTAGGGAGCTCTGGTGGCTTAGTAAGTAAGGAGTTGCACTGCCAACTCAAAGACATATGGTTCAAATTCACCAGCTTCTCCTTGGAAGAAAGGTGAGCTACAGCCTCTGAAAACTATCTGGAGGATCAATGCCTAACCTGGGTCAGTCCCAACTTCACAGCACATAACAAAAATAAGTTTGTATGCCTTGCAGAAGACCCACTGTTCTTGTCCTGGGGCTCCCAGAATGTTTTCTTTACCTTTCCCCTCAGTAAATAAAAAAATAAAACTACAAAAACATCAAGCTAATTGTTCTTGAGTTGATATTTGCTCATGACAACTTCATGTGTACAGAATAAAACAATTCCACAGATGTTTTATGGCTGTGATTTTTCAGAGACAAATCACCAGGTCTTACTTTCAGAGCGTCTGGATGTGTCCCACTTATCAACTCTCTGATTAGAAGCTAGACCATCCAGGGATTCCCTTACTTAGCACCAAGTCATTACTCCTAACTCCATGAACAAAGCAGACTTTTTCAAAACCAGGGGTGCCTCTTTCCCCTGATACATCATCTATAATAAAACAATGCAAACAAGGAGCAGGTTTGCCTGATTGTATTTTATCCAAGACTTGATTTTTTTCTCATGCAAATTAGTGACTTCCTAAAACTTTTCACATTGGTTGATGGGTTAGATAAGTTATGATACTCATACTACTCATTGCCATCCAGCTGAAATTGACCCATAGCTCACTCTCCACAGGCTTTCTCATGGGGAAGAGATTGTTTATCTTTCTCCCACAAAGCTGCTGGTGGATTTAAATAGTATGCCTTTTGGACTGGCAGCATGAGGCCACCAGAGGCCCTGGAGTTAATGATACTTTCCATAATGTTTCAGGTTAGAAGAAACATACATATTTCAGTGGAAATTAATTCAGAACAAATTGATTTTGTAATTTTGAACTTCAGACAGCATTGCAAATTATTTGAACTACACTTAAGTTGAGTTTCACTATTTCATAAATGATAACATTTTTTTGATAACATTTTGATAACATTTCTTTGATAACATTTTTAACAATTTGTGTTGTCATTCAAGGCCAAACTTAAGGACTGGGAGACTTCACAATAGCATTAAACTGGATTAACTTATAGGGCAAAAATGAGCAATCACTATTTTGACTTGTTTTTGGCAAGGCTTGATTTAAGATGGAAAATTTAATGTGGTATTTGCTTTATCTTCTAGTATTCTGATAAATTTAATGATACTCAAAATTATGTTTGAGAGCTAAAAAGATATTGTTTCATGAGTATGTATTTTGGATGTTTAAATTCATACACATATTTAAATGCATATTAATATCTATGAGCAAATATAACATGTATGAGAAAGAGGAAGGACCTGGTATTTTACCATTGGTCTTGTGGTATTCAGCCTGTTCTAAATGAGAGTATTAAAATCTTCTTTATGCCGCCAGCCTAGTGAGCAGAGCTTATTACCATGCTGGAAGGATATGGTTTTTTATACTTACTTGTAAGGACGGTAAACCTGAACTAACTTTTGTCATGCTTTCGCTGAATTGCAGAAATAGGAGGATTTTCCTTAATTAGCGATTGAAAAAATGAGAAAGAAATATTACCCAGAAATGAGACAAGGCATTTACGTGAAATGATTTCTCCACCATATTGTCTGGGGTTTCAAGGAATGATTTTCCTGTCACGCATCCAGCATTGTTGATGAGTATAGTGACATCACCCACTTCTTTTTTAACCTGGACAGAGGGAAGCAAGAAGGAATTCATGTAAAGTGCTGTGTTTGATATTTTTCTTTCGCAGGCTGTCATTTTCTTCCTTCTCTGTTCAGTTATAACTCAGTCTTTTATTTTTATCTTCCATGTATAAATTGAGTTATTTGAAAATATTTCTGAGTTAAAAACATTTTGTTTTGGTAATTTTTTGAAAAAACCTTGAATTTTTTTTTAAATGACCTAATGTTATGTTTTTACTTCCCGTTATTTCTAGTATGTTGATGCCTTTTCCTTCAGGGCCCCTAATGGCCAGGGATGTCAGGGGAGGAAATTTGCCTGTGAATGCTTTCCTTAGATGGCACTTATGTCCTCCTTCCTGGCCAGGACTGACAGGATACAATGCTAACAAGGAGCAGGCTTGTCTGATTCAAAATACAATTTTTCCACTTTACAGAGGAATAGCAGGGATCCTGCAGCATTTCACCCAACACTTGGCATGAAGGTACCCCTAACATTTCTTTGCTTAACTACTGTTTATAGACTCCTGTGATAAACTTGTCATAAAAACTACCCTGGATCTAATGACTGTCATAGGTATTGTTTTCTGGGTCCCACTACTAGGCTCCTACTGTCCCTTGTTATTCTAAGCACTGCTCTTTATACCCTATAAATGGGATTTTATTTTACCTCTAGTGTAAGTTTTCTAGGTGACACTTACAGAGCTGGTTCAGAAGTAGCTTGATATAAGCTTTAAAAATTACTTAAGAATCCTTTTCCTTTTTTTCCAGGAAAAGGATATTTTCAGTGTTACAACCAGCTCAAATAAATTTATTCTGGTTTGGACTCCTGTTGAGGGTTTACTTTGCCATCCCAAATATACCAAATCAGAATACATACACATGTCCATTGAGACTTCCTGGAAATTCCCTTTGATTCTTATGCACCTTTTTATGTGCCATTTAAAGCTCTGAATACAATCTGTTATTTTGCTTCCGAAAAGTAGCACAGCTTGCCTTGACTGGTTCTAGTATATGAATTGCTATGTGTGGAGCCTACAGTCGATGCAGTTTAGAGATACCAGATAAATATTACTGCTGATGCAGTAATCTCAATCATCTATGAAAGGAAGGCCAGTGAGCTCTCATGGCCTAGTGCTGAGACACTGTACTGCTATCACAAAGGCATGCAGTTCAAATCCACCTGCTGCTCCTCTGGAGAAGGATGGGCAATCTCCTTCTGTGCGATGTACTGCCTCTGAAAACCCACTGGAGAGTCAGCTACCAGTTGGCTCCAATTCGATGGCAAACAACAACAATAACATGAAATGAAATGTCAATTTTATGAAACTGACCTTGAACTGAAGGAGTTCGTTTCCTCTTAAATGGAGAGAGATAAGACAATCAGCTATCAATAAGTCATTGCCAAGTAGGAATTCCGTGGGAGTAAAGAAATCAAACAGAAAAGCAGATCAAAGAATTTTACTTAGAGGTAGTGGAGGAAAAAAAAAAAAAAGACAGATGATATCTAGTCCCATGGTGAAAGATAACTTTGGTTAAAAAAAATCCCCAAAAACAAAACACAAGAAAAATTTAAACAAGAAGGAAAGATTAGTTAGGGTCAGAAGGGTTGAGGTGGGAGATTATAATTTTGATTGATGAAAGTATATCTATAAAGTATCTTTTTATTGTTCCCACTTTCCCACATTTGTTGATAGCTCTGTTGTGGGGGTAGCCTAGGCTCTGAATCAAAATTTTCTTTGGGGTCACATCCAGCTCTGTCATTTATCAGCTCTGTAATCTGGGAAAATTCCTCACTCTCTGTTAACCAAAAATTTGTCAATTTGAGTTCTCCCAAGCTTGCATTGGAGGAATGACCTGGTTATGTACTCCCAAGATAGTCAGTCTCTATATGCTCCATAGAGTGTAGCTATACTCTGATACACAGGAGGGGATTGCCTGTCATTCTCCATTGCTGTCAAAAGTGAATTCTATCCCCAGGAGGAAGATAGAAAATGAAGAAGAGCGAAGGAATCTAGACCATCAGCGATCCCAAGTAGAGACTCAAAAAATAGAGTTTTAAAATACTAATAAATAAGAAAATCTCATGTTTGCAGCTGAGATTGCCAATGGGAAGGAAAGTTTCTGGGGATTCTGTTGTGAAACTGGGTTGCTTGCACCCTTTTAGATCATAGGCTAGTTGATCAGAGAGAGCTGACTTTGCTGCCAGGCTCCTTGAACTTAAATCTTGCTGTGCCAACTATTAGCTTTATGATTTTGGGCAAATTGTTCTTTAGTCTGCATTTATAAACGTTGTTGTGTTGTTCTTAGATGCTGTTGAATTAAATATTACTCATAGTGACCTTATGAACAATAGATCTGAACCCTGTCCATCCTGTGCCAACCTCTGACACAATCTCTGACACATTAGAGCCCATTGCTACAGTCACTGTGACAGTCCACCTGGTTGAGGGTCTTATTAATGATATATACCTTATTGGATGGAGCGCTGGTGACCTAGTGATAAGAATTTGCACTGCAACACTGCAGACTCAGAGTTCAAATACACGAGCTACTTCATGGGAGAAGGATAGGCAATCTCCTGTGATTACTGCCTCTGAAAACCTGGTTGAGGGTCAGCTATGGATCAGTTCTGATTTAATGGCACACAACAGCAACAACAACACCTTGTTTGATTGTGTTATGTTGTATAGACTAAATGACTTATTTTGTGTGAAAAGTGCTTGGAATAGTAACTACTCAAAAGCTCAGTCACTGTTAGAAAACATGGTAACTATATTTAAAAAAAAGTTAGCTGTTGGTGCAACCACTGTAGAAGGCAGTATGGCGCTTTCTCAAAAAGCTGGAAATAAAAGTACCATTTGACTCGGCAATTCCACTACTGGGAATATTCCCTAAAGAAACTAGAACTGCCACCCAAGCAGATATATGTATACTCATGTTTATGGCAGTTTTGCTCACAATAGCAAAGAGACGGAAACAACCTAAGTGCCCATCAACAAACAGCCTATCCAGAGAAGCTCTGGTATATTCACACAATGGAATACTACGCTATGTTGAAAAAAAAAAGGAACTCATGAAATGTTATACAAAATTGGTGACCCTGGAAGACATTATGCTGAGTGAAATATCTCAGTCACAAAAGGACAAATACTACATAGTTCCACTGTTGCAAAATAGGACTGACATCAGGTTTGGGGGGAAACTACAAGGGAATAAATAATGTATACTGCATTGAAAAAGATGAAGTAGAGAACTGTTTAGGGGGGATATATGATTAGGTATTATTGTCATGACAAAAGTCCAGAATGAAAGCTGTACAGTAGAGTGGACTATAGGGTGGGGTGAGGGAAATTGTGAAACAATGAAAGAATTTATTTATTAATTTTTTTTTTTACTTTTCAAAGAGAAAAGCAAACTGGGGGTGAGAGATGGGCAGGGTAGAAAGTGTGTAACATTGAATGCACGGAAATCTAAAGTCTCTGTAAACTTTCATTAAAAAAAGTTAGCTGATATTGTTAGAGGATTTATCAATATTCAGTGTAAATTGAACAAATATCAGTAGGCTAACTTTAAGATGATATTTAATCTAGAAATATACTACTTTCAAGCATTTTTTAAATCCTTAGTACATGACAATGACAGATATGCACAATAATAAAACTCCCCCCAAATCACAAACATCTCACAAAAAACAAGCAAAAAATGACAGGTAGAAGTAATTTTGAAGATTATCTAACCTAAATCCACATGTTGCATATAAAAAAACTTATAAACTAGAGTGACTAAATAAATTATATAACAAATGTGTAGCAGAATTAGGATGGAGCACAGTGTCTATTCATTCCTAAAGGTGAATCATTTATTATGAAAAGCGATTGGGCAATGCTGGATTTAGGAGGTTTGTCAATTCTCTCTTTACATTCTGGTGCCACTCCCTTTTTTGGAAGATACAATGTCACATTTACGACGTGCAGGATCAGCAGGACCTTGGGGGGTTTTAAAATACTTTTTCTCTTCCTTTCATTGTAAAAATGCAGACCAGATTAAATATTTCCCTTGCACTGTGAATATAAATTGATAAGAACATTAGTTAACTTACCTGTTTAGCGACATTGTAGACCTCTTGCCGGTTGCCACAGTCACATGTGTAGGTATATACTTTTTCACCACCATTTTTCTTGACTAGTCTACTTGTTTCCAAAATCCCTTCTTTGTTAATGTCCCACAGCACTAAAATGGCTCCAAGATGAGAAAATTTTATGGCCAACTCTCTCCCAAGTCCACTCCCAGCTCCTGTTATAAGTACAATTTCTCCAGCAACACTCTTTTTTCTCTTGGGAATTATACAATAAACTAAACTTTCTAAAAAATAATAGAAAAGTTTCCCTAATAGTTGGAAAGTGTCCAGAGTTGCCTCCATGTTAATTGACAGAAGAATGGTATGGTCTAATAATGAAAAAGATAATTGACAAATCAGTTACATTATGACCAAAATTGCAACATACAGAAAACATTTTTTACTTATCTTTGATATATATATTATATATACATATATATTTGAT